GTTCGAATGAGATATTGTTGTACAGACACGGGCAGGTGAATTGAAGCAGATTTCAGCTCTTCATCCAGCCTTCATGGCACTGCAGTATCCTTTGCTCTTCCCATATGCTGAGCGTGGGTTCCAGATTGGAGTTCTATATGCTGGTTTTACGGCAACAGAAGAGAATACGTACAACAAAGTCATAATGCAGGATTATTTCTGCTACATGTTTCATTATAGAAGGAACCAGCCAAAACCGTACCTTTGTTTCGGTGCATTATCTAGCCAAGCTAAAGTTGATGCAAGAGCTTGTGTTGATGAAAATAGGCTTAGTTACTTAATCAAGAACCAAGCAGATATTCGCATGGAAAGTATCCAAGGCATCTATGATGCTATTAGTAAAGGGTCTACGCACGGTGATGAAATGGGTAAAATAACAGTGTTACCAGCTTCGTTCACTGGTGGCAAGCGCTATATGATTCAAAATTACCATGATGGAATAGCTATCTGCCGAGAGTACGGCCCCCAGATTTCTTTGTTACTTTTACATGCAATCCTAAATGGTTGGAGGTCGCAGAAGGTATATTTGATCCTGGTCAAAAACCGACCGACAGATCCGATATCATCGTAAGAGTGTTCAATATGAAACTGGAGGAGCTTCTACATGATATCAGACCTGGGACTGTTTTTGGAGTATGCACTGCGGGTAATGTGTTTCTACGTTGCCTGCTCATAGTCCCTAGCGTTCCTACTAGGTGCATGCTTCCACTAAAGTTTCCATCTTGCCTTTCGCTCTCCCTTACCTCATGTGCCTGTGTTTCCAGATTCTAAACATCATGTCTGCTTCTCCTTGCAGTCCTACACACCGTCGAGTTTCAGAAACGTGGTCTCCCGCATGCGCATATTATCTTGTGGACCACATCAGACACATCAAATCCCACTCCTGGGATGATCGATACTTACATATCTGCTGAGATACCGGATCCGAGCATTGATCCGTTAGGGTATGCTCTTGTTGCCGAACACATGATCCATGGGCCATGTGGTGCTGACAATCCCAGGTGCCCATGCATGAAGGATGACAAGTGCTCCAAGCGTTTCCCCAAGCCATATCAGCCAGAGACCTCTGTCAGTTCTAATGGATTTGCTGTGTACAGAAGATCCATTGGCAATTCTGCCATTACCGTCAACAGCCACGCGAAGAAAAGGTAACTTACCTTTGTCCACACAAATCATAACGATAGTATACCCCAGACAAAACACTGAAACCCTTCGTGCAATCAGGTAAACAAGCACTCAAAGATACCTACGCTGACGCTCTAGGCAGCGCGTACGACTTCAGAGCACCTGATTTCAGTTACCTAATCATAAATGACATCAAGGACTTTTACAGCACAAGGGCACATTACCTATGCTGTTGCAGAAACATATCTGTGCACATGGACACTCTTCTTCAACAATTCTCACACAGATTGAACGCAGCGGCATATAACCTATGCTATGCCATACACAAGTCTGATTACAGGGACCATGAAAACGACAGTGCCTACTTCTACAGCGTGGCTCAGTGGCTCCACCAACTCTTGTTAGACGCAGACGGACGGGCAAAAATTATCCACGACATTATCGACCTAGCACAGCGTCAACAACATCCATCTGTCAACATCAAAGCATTCCAGAAAATACCCGATCCTCTAAAGGTACGCCCAATCGCTTTCGTAACCCAAGTATGTCCATCATGTTTTCCCACATTTACAAACTTTAAAATATGCAAATACACCACAAATGCAGACAGCGGTACCACCGGCATTTGCTTCGCGCCTCAAAACCATCCATGCTGCCGCAACTGAGAAGGTATATGGTCAGCAGGCTGTTGTGACTGCTCACGAAACAGTTCCAACTAAATTCGAAGCCTTCATCACCATGGGGAATCTGACGGCACACTACAATGAAGTCCCCTGCGCTAATGTTGCAATAGCTGAAACATTGGCAGTCTACCATTCTCTAAGATACATTACAAACGTCCTCAGCTACCGAATCATTGATCTCAACTACCCATCCTTGTCCACCCTCATACATGCAGTCAACCAACAAAATGCTGACATGACCAGGTTCGACCACTGTGTTTTAGGCATCAAAACTAATGCCGACCTCACACACCAGTTAATCTCATCTCTTCCAACCGAGTTTAGACAGGCAGCAGCTCATATACCACAGTCACAGGAACTATGCGATCCACTAGACGAACTAACCCTTACCATAGACTACTACCACAAAAACGTGCAAAAGCTGCATGGATACTACGAAACCAACAAGGTACGCTTCTAACATCCAGCTAAGTGTCTCATTTACTACCGCTACCTCACATATTCAGAAACAATGGATGCCTATGCTTTCAGCAAAAATACATCTCAACAAGACTGCAGACAGAAACGCTGAGCCTAGTAGGCAACCGCTGGGATTGGATGAATGCAATAGAAGAATGATGTACATCAGCATCATCATGCATCGCCTATCACCAGACCTTCACCAGCACCACCACACATCGGCAGCGCTACTACCACCGAAGACAACTATTTGTGTACGCCGGCTTAGAGATCAGCTACCGTGTATAGCTTTTCCACTATAAAATACTTATGCCTGTAATATATTTCAATAGACCTGTATAACCTCTGAACGTGCTACCGCGCGAGCGCGCGGAATCGCGCGCCAATCGACTAGTTCTTAGATAGTTTTGACGTCCTTTTCCTTGTCACACTATGGTCCTTCGGTGCGATATACTTTGTTTTCGTTGTGAAACCTATCTTTCTCTAGACACTACTTACACGTTGTGGAGGGCCTTATACGATTACGCCTGCTAATGGGGACAGACCCGCCCCACACCCGCCCCGACCCGTCCTTGGAGAACACTGGATGCCAACCCAACCACACCCGCCCCAACCCGCCCTGCTCTTGCGGGTTTTGCGGCGCCATGCTCGTGCCGTGCTGTCTGAGAGTCGGGGCGTCGGATGAGTCGGGGCATCGGCCAGGGCATGGGCATGGAGGCGTGGGGCGTCGACGATGTCTTCATGCTGCAACTGTGCAGCACGGCTCCCGGTCAGTCATTCGCGGCGGCGACGACGACGGGGCGCTCCGCTGGGCGGCCATCGAGCGCCTACCTACCTACAACCGCCGAACCGCGTGCGCACCGCCATCCTGTACTCGTCCACGGAGGCCGATGCCGTCGCCACCGCCGTCGACGGGGACAACGACAAGCCCCGCCAACAGTTCAAGGATGTGGACGTGATGAAGCGCGGCGTCGGCGAGCGCGTCTTCCGCGTCGCCGAGGCGGACAACTAGCAAATTCCTCCATAAGCTCCGCAACCGCATCGATAGGTACGGAACAACGCTCACCGGCCCTTTGCTGCCTGCTTTCTCCGAGAGTTCACGACGGGAGATAGCGATGAGTCACGGACTCGCCGGCGAGCACGAGAGGCTACGCGATGGGTCATCTTTCCCCCGCCCCGCCCCAACCCGTCTTCTCTCTATACCCAACGCGACCCGACCCGTAAGCCAATCGAACCCGTTTCCACCCGTCCACACACACTCCATAGCAAAACCCGCCCCAAAAAATCTGTTTCCCCACGCCCCATTAGCAGGCGTTTAATACGATAGAACATCCTTTCCTTTTCCCTTTAACTGCTCCAGACCTATATCATATATGAATGAACAACCCCAAGATTCAACACGTTGTGTGGGACAAAAAAAATTGAATGGACAAAAAAAACCGTTCTAGTTAGCCCTAGATAGACCCAAAAAAAAAAAACTTGCACACCGCATTGCTAAGTTGGTACGGTGCGATGTCATAGCCTTGAAAGGCTAGCTGACACTCTGTCACTACTCTCGGTTGGTGACATCCTCAACGGTTCATCTGGTGGTGAATCTCCCTCTTAGGCTGTGTTTAGTGGATGTCACATCGGATGTTTCGGGAATGTCGGAAGGAGTTTTTGATACTAATAAAAAAAACTAATTATATAGTTTGCCTGGAAACTGCGAGACGAATTTATTAAGCCTAATTAATTTATCATTAGCGTATGTTAGTTACTGTAGCACTTATGGCTAATCATATACTAATTAGTCTTAAAACATTCGTCTTGCGATTTCCAATCAAACTGTGCACTTAGTTTTTTTCGTCTATATTTAATACTCAATGCATGTACCGTAAGATTCGATGTGATAGTTTGGGGTGAAAATTTTTGGGAACTAAATCAGGCCTTAGTAAAGGTATCAAAATACAATTATAATCATACAATCATACGGCAGCAACGAGATTTGACAACCTTGCTCCATGTAGCCATCCTTGTTTGACACCTACTGAAATAATCCTGCCATTTTCAGGCAACCTTTCAGGCAACCCAAGCCGAGGAAGCGTTCAAATAACGCGCCAAGTCTCCAACTGGGTGCATCCGTTCTGGATCTTTTACTGAAAATACAGCTTGATCTAGTTCGTTTATAGATTGCACAGCGCAGCACTGCACTGTGCGTCCGCGCGTGCCTTTATCAATGTCGTTTTGGAGGTTAAAAAACAACCTTGATCATTACTTTTTTCTATAAAATATTTATAGAATATAGTCAATATATACTTTAATAAAACTACATTTCAAAATAAATCTACTTACATCACTTTTATATTTTTAAACCCAACCTAAACAAATTTATTTATAATTAAAATTTAAAGTATTTAACTTAAGATAACCTCAAAACAACTTTATTTAGGAACGTGATGGGAGTAATACTGATCCCGTCGTGGAAGCTGCAGCTCACCATCCAGGACCCATCCGTCGGCCCCACCGGGCACCGTCCACGTGTACTGATCAACACGTGTCCCCATTGGAGGCAACACGTGTGCCCGCGCCCCTATAAGTTAGGCGCGCTTCCAAATTTGGCCGGCGCCGCGACAAGAGGTAGGCGAGACGAGACACAGAGAGGAGAGGAACCATTCCCCCATCCAGGTTGTTTGCTCCGTCCGACACCCAGAGAAGATGGCGCCGCGCCGACGACGGATGCTGGCGCTGCCGGCGGTGTGCCCGTGCGAGGCCATCGCGCCGGCGCCGCTGCTGGCGTCGCTGCTCTCCCTGGCCGCGGACGTCGCGGGCCTCCGGGCCGCCGCCGACGTGGACGCGCTCCCGGCGCTCCGGGGCGCGGCGCGCGAGGCTGTCCGGATCGCCGGCCTGCTCCTCGCGTTCCTCGACGGCATCCCCGTCCCGGACGAGGCGGAGGCGGCCCCGGCCGTGCTCGTGCTGGGGCTCTCGGAGCTGCACGTGGCGCTGCAGAAGCTGCGGCTCCTGCTCGCCGACTGCGCCCGGAAGGGGGCGCGCCTGTGGGTGCTTATGAACGCGGAGCTGGCGGCCTCCGAGCTCCGGGTGCTGCTGGGCTCCGTCGCCACGGCGATGGACGTGCTGCTGCTGCCTTCGGAGGGGCACGTCGTCGTCGGGGGGGCGGCGTCCGCGGACGCCGACGCCGAGGAGCTCGCGGGGCTGGTGTCCCGGCACGCGTGGCGCGCGGCGGCGCGGCTGCGGCCGGACCCGGAAGACGACCGCGCGGCGCGGGGCGTGCGCTCGGTGCTCGCGCGGTTCGCTAGCGGCGTCACGCCCGACGCCGAGGACGCTAGGCTCGTGCTCGCCCGCGTCGGCCTCGCCACCTGGCACGACTGCTCCGAGGAGGCCGCGTTCCTGGAGGCCGAGCTGCTGGAGCGCCTGGAGACCGGCAGCGACGACAACGACAACGACAACGACCGTGCTCATCACCAGCCTCATGGCGTTCCTGCTCTACTGCCGCGTCGTCTTGTTCGACCGCATTGATGATTCAGGCAGCAAGACCGACAAGGCCGCCGCGACGGTGAACAGGCTCCCCCCGAGGTTCACCCTCAGCCTCAACCCGGAGGCGCTGCAGTGCCCGATCACGCTGGAGCTGATGACGGACCCGGTGACGGTGGTCACCGGCCAGACGTACGACCGCGCGTCCATCAAGAAGTGGATCAAGAGTGGGTGCCGGACGTGCCCCGTCACCGGCGAGAGGCTCCGCAGCGCGGAGCTGGTGCCGAACGTGGCCGCGCGCGGGGTCATCGAGCAGCTCCTCCTCAGCCGGGGTGTCCCGGTCCACGAGCCCAGCAGCAAGCACCGGTGCGCGGTGGACAAGACCGCCACGCCGTTCGGCGCGGCCGCGGCCGGCGGCGTGCGCCTCTCCGCGGCGTTCCTGACGGCGAGGCTGTCCAGCGTCAGCGGCGCGCCCGAGGAGCAGAAGAGGAAGGCGACGCACGAGGCCCGCAAGCTGTCGAAGCGGAACGTCTTCTACCGGGCGTGCCTCGTGGAGGCCGGCGCCGTGCCGTGGCTGCTCCACCTGCTCTCCTCCACGGACGCGTCCGTGCAGGACAACGCCGTGGCGGGCCTGCTCAACCTGTCCAAGTACCCGGCGGGGCGGCGGGCGCTGGTGGAGGCCGGCGGGCTGGGTCTCATCGTGGACGCCGTGAACGTGGCCGCCAAGGTGGAGGCGCGGCAGAACGCGGCGGCCGTCCTGTTCTACCTCTCGTCCAACCCGGAGTACTGCGAGCAGATCAGCCGCATCCCGGAGGCGATCCCGACGCTGGTGCGCCTGGCGCGAGACGGCGCGTACCGGGGGCGGAAGAACGCTCTGGTGAGCCTCTACGGGCTGCTCCAGTGCGCGGACGCGCACGGCAGGGCGGTGTCTGCGGGCGCCGTGGACGTGCTCGCCGGCCTGATGCTGGTGGGCGCGTCGTCCGCCTCCGCCGGAGACGACGGCGGCGACCTCGCCCTCGACGCCGTCGCGCTGCTCGCGAGGCTCGCGGAGCAGCCGGGCGGCGCGCGCGCCGTCGCGGCGAGCTCGGAGCTGGTGACGAGGCTGGTGGACTTCCTCGGCGAGGCGGCGTCGCGGTCGGCCAAGGAGCACTGCGTGGCGCTGCTGGCGTCGCTGGGCCGGCACTGCGGGGACAAGGTGCTCGCGCTGCTGGGCAAGCTGCCTGGCCTGATGCCGGCGCTGTACGCGCTCATCGCTGACGGCACCCCGCAGGCGGGCAAGAGGGCGCGGTGGCTGGTGAATGAGATCCACCGCCACTACGAGCAGCGCCAGACGCCGGCGTCCGCGCCAACCCCGGCGACCGGCGACCGTGTCATCCGTGTATAGTTGGTCGTCCCCGGCGCACGAAGTTGTACATTTGAAATTTTTTTGTGGCTGCTTTTCGTCTTTGATTGGGTTATTAGAGGGTGATGAGGGACGACCAAAGTTTGTTCTTTCCCGGCTCGAGTTTTTTGAAGAGTCGGGACGGGATCTGATACTGATTTCGTGGTGAGGCGTACAAAACGAAGACAAATACAAATGTACAGAGATCACTTTTGTATCTGATTTGTGAACCGCAAATATATGAATGTACAGAGAACAGTTTTAAAGACAAATGGTTCGTGCTATTTTTGTCTTTCGTGTTTGGTGTGGCAGAGGGGGCAGATGGGAGTGGCATGCATGTTGTGTGAGGCTTTCAGCAAGCAGAGGAGTCGTCTTGTGTCGGCAAAGGATGTTCTTGATGATTGCATCCGCGTGCGCAGGTTGCTTGGCTGATTTGGTTGGGATTTGCAGCTCCGGAGGGCAAGCTTTTGTTTTCAATGCAGCATGCACAAACACTCAACCAAAGAATGTTTTGGGGCTCAGAGTTCCAGGTGTTCCTTTGTGATTGCGACGATGGTTTTATATAATGCCCGTGCTAACACTACGGCAGCGTATAGCCATACAAATTAAATAAGCAAAAGTCATATATGTCCGAGTTATTAAACGCAAACAGAAATCAATGGGATCATTTTTTAGTCGATCCCATCCTATGGTCACCATCAATGCAAACAAAAAAAATGAATATATAATCAGAATATAGCATGGTTCCAAAGCACCGGAAACATGAGAAAAAAAAAAAGAAGGGCATCATCAATGCCGCTGCCGCCTCGTATCCTACATAACGTCTGTAGCATGTATCCTCCTGTTCGCTTCATCGTTTCTGTGGTTTATAAACCGGCTGATGTTGTTTTATTGTGAGAGAAAAAACACTATATCATAACTGTAAGTATAGCTGATACGATCAAGCGAACATGGAGGATAATAGAGTACCAACTGATGCCATGTAAAAACTGTAAAAGAAGAAAAAAAAATCATAGAGCTGAAAAGTTCTAGTTAGCTGTCTTCGTATTAAAAATCATAGAGCTCCACACATAATCCAATAATCACAATAACGTCAAATTCTATTTTTATTCACGTAAATAAAAGTCAAAATGCAAATCATGATATGTCCGTGTCAATTGATATTTAAACCAGAGAGACACAATTGATATTTATTGTTGGAAGTGGTACTGCAGATGTTTAAACCAGCATATTACACCATTTTAATTGGGATTTTCTTCCATCATGGAGTAGTCCTTCTAGTGCTTTGTAAAATTTTTTCTTAAGTTGGTCAGCAAGCTCTTTGCTGGCTCAGTGTGATATAAAAGTTTTAAAAAATTGCCACCATATCCTAGAACTTTGACAGGCAATATATAAATTTACCACATTGTTGGTCGCCACAATGACCTTGAACTGAAACCTCTTGATCTAGATCTCCAGGACGATGACTGCAAAGCTGGAAATTTCATTCAGTGATCCATGCTTACTGGCAGAGTTCAATGCAATGTTCCCATGCACTCCTTTTTTTAGTAAATTTCCATATACATAATGGATTATTTACTTTATAAGTAGTTATTAATCATTACTTGTCTGAAACTGTACAGACCGGAAAATCCAACCAATTATAGCATTCACAATACTGATCAGAGAGAGAGCAGCCATGTTCTAGTACAAGTTAATTGAAACCTAGAGTTGTGCCATGTAGGCCTAAACCTGAGTAAATCCTCTGCGTTCATCTATGAAATCCAAATGATTGGTGTGCCTGATGAATTAGTAAAGGTGTGCCTGTAATAGCCCTATACTCTTATGTCATCTAAGCTCTGTTTTTCTTCTGAAGCCCCTTTTGTATAGGAATAGCGTTAGTTTTCAATCCTGTGGGAAGGGAGATGTACCTGACGGAGGTGTGGTGAGTAGTATCGACGGGGGCAGCCCATGTGTCACCTCCCCTCTCATGAGCTAGGGGCGTACCATGCCTATGCCATGAGCAAGGTCGTTCCCGACTTCCCGTAACAAGCAGCAGTGAGCACCCCTTGCCTTCAGAGAAGGAAAGAGCTTACCAGGGCTAGAGCATTGCTACAACAGATCATTGTTATGTGCCACTCCTAGCTGAATACAAAGGGGCAGACCCAGTACCGGAGGCTCCCATATGAGTGGGGTCTGGAAAAAAGAAGGAAAAGGACTGCCATGTTGCCTTATTAATTAAAATAGTAAATACAAACCAAAATACTAACATGTTTATAAAAATCTATTTCTTACACTGATCCGACTCATTTGTCCCAAGCCATAATAGAGAATTACCCAACAGCTAATAATTCAGATAGAATAATTGCTGCAGCCTTGACAATTGTTCTAGCACCCTGAGAATTCATTTTCCTAGTTCGGGAGATGTGGTCGGGGAGGGGCAGGGCGACATGCGCGGCGGCGAGGGAGGGCCGGGGAGGCGCGTGAGGCAGGAGCGGCGTGCCACGTGCGCAATGCGATGGGGGAGAGGAGTCGGGAGCGCCGAGCGTGCGTGGGGTTCCGAGTTGCGGGATGGGATGAGTGACGAGGTTTGGTCCAGATAATTTGGGCCGTTTGATTTGAGCGAGTGAGAGAAAGAAGAGGGTAGGGTGGATCTTATCCCTTGATTTTTAAAGGTTGGTTGGTTCTGAGTGCAGCTTGCTTGGTGCACGTAGGAGAGGTCATGACTATGGGGGACATCTTTTGGTGTGGTTTTAGGAAAGTTTACATTGGTGCATTGTATAATGTAGAGATGCCAGAAAAGAGCCACGTTGTGGATTGAGGAGTAGCTTTGAAAACTGTGCACAAGCTCTAGAGCAACTGCGCAGCAGATAAAACAAATAGCCCGTCTAGCTCAGTCGGTAGAGCGCAAGGCTCTTAACCTTGTGGTCGTGGGTTCGAGCCCCACGGTGGGCGGATGTAAATTTTTTAATCTTTCTATCCATTTTTGGCTTCTGATTTTAATGCTCAACGTCCGTATTCATCCTCTTTCACCCTGTTCTCTTGAATCATGATGCACCGTTTTTCTCTCACAACAAAATAATATCTATCGGCTTATAAGTCACAAAAACGATCAAGCGAACATGGTGTTTGATTTTTGAATTTCAATTTTTGAAGACTGAATATGTTTTTTTTAATGAACGTTTTGCAAGATTAACATCCTTTCGAAATTTACATACTTGAAGGGGTAAGTTTGAACTAGTTATTTGCTATAGAGGTGGATCAATTTTTTTTTTTTTTGCGATTTTCCATTAAAGCTCAACATCCATATTCACCCTCTTTGAGATTTGAATTTCAATTTTTGAAGAATGAATATGAATGTTTCTTCATGAATGTTTTGCATGATTAACGTCCTTTCGAAATTTCTAAACTGGAAGGCAGGTTTTGAACTAGCTATTGGTAGAGATGGATCAAAGTTTTTGCGGCTTTCCATTACAAGTTTTTTTTACCAAGTGAGAAAGATTCAATTTAATCGACGGCACAATCATGTCCCAATTTACATGCAAGCTTCTGGGCAATAAAAAGGATGTATTAGAGTAAATCTAGAGACCCTAATAACAGTCTTCACCTCCGGTCCAAAGTTCTTGATGATGATGATAAGAAAAATGAAGCAAAGTTTTTTAGTTTTCCATTCCAAGTTGGATAAGCTAGAATATAATCTTACAAGCTGGCTTATAGAAAGTTTAATCTAAAAATCATGACAATGAATATTTAAAGCCTGTTTGATTTATGACCAAAATATGCCATATTACATTACATTACATTACATTACATTACGAATAAGTATGTCATATATTTTTTAAGGCAGTTGTTTGGTTCACTGTCATAACTATGGCACGTCATACTTTCTTAGCCATATGTTATAGACTTTTTTTTTTGCCAAACTTTGTCACAAGTATGTCTTCGATTTTACTCGTCATATTAGCTAAGGTCCAGCGACGCAAACTTCGACACCAACCATATGTCTCCGTCGGTGTAAGATGTATTTTCTTGTGTTTCGCTGTAAGATGTATTTTGGTAGAGCACAAGGATAAATACTTAGAATCCCCGAAAATCATGCTTGCTGCTCCCAGTCTCTCTTCTGCCAGTTTTTTTTTTTTTTTTTTTTTTTGAAAGAGCTGATGTGGTGAAGTGGATGCATCGAAGCCAGCAGGCAGCAGCAGACCTCTCACTCTCAGCACTGAAGCCAAAACGAATCAAGTGAACCCACCAGCCAATAGAGCGCTGGCACCCGCCGCCGCTTCTTCCGTGTCAAGTCAGCAGCACGGGAGCAAAATAAGATTGCACACTGTCGGCGGTCGCGACTCGCGAGCCGGTTGGTTGATGGGCGTGCGAATATTTGGGGCAGCAGTTGTTTACTCCATCGACGAATTTCATAGGAAAATAAATACATACTTATATGATGCTGCAGTTTGTCCAATTCTACAGTGAATATCGATATTTCAGTGCTTCATGCGCCAGCAAGCGTGTCTCGTGAACGACGCCAGTGCCGGCCATTACTGAATAATAAATCACGGAGCTGCAAGCCATAGTTGCAACGCAGACATATAGGCACGTTATCTGCACCAACGTGTTAGCGTGTCCATGCATATTAGTACAGATAATGTGTTAACGTGTCCATGCATGTTAGATGAGTATGGGTAACATGAGTGGAAACTTGGGGATTGGTCCCGTGAGCGTGGCTTGTTTGGTGACATTGCCGGAGCATTTTCCCTGATTGAAAGGAGGGGATCTGGTTCAGAGATTTGAGGGAGAAATCAGATCAAGACGGGAAGAAGAGGTGCGCACCTGGCGAAGGGAGTGAGGATGGCCAGATCAGCGGCACCACGCGGGGACGACCGGCGTGCACCGACGCCAGCCCGCCTGCTAGACCGCTTCCGTGCACACGCCGCCAGGATTCTGCGCTGTTGCGCGCACGGAGAGGGAAAGGAATCCACGTTCTGTTTCTCCTGTGATTAGGGGAATCGGGATGGTTTTTTTGAAGG